TTGGAAGCGATCAATATACATCCCCATCCACAAAAAGGGAGACACAGGGGACTAGAGTAACTAACTGTAGCCCCATAGTACTGATCTCCCATGCAAGCAAATCATGCTCAAAATTTTGCAACATAGACTCCAACCATACAGTAGAAGTAGAAAGAGAGGAAGGCCACATGCCAGATAGATGGACTCTATTAAGGAGGTCATGGCTATGAGTTTGCAGGAATTAAGCAGAGCAGTGAAGGACAGAGGGTCTTGGAGATGTCTCATCCCTAGGGTCTTCATGAGTCCAGATCAACTCGAGGGCAGTTAACAACAACAACAAAGCTGCTGTGATCAATAGGAGTCTGTTCCTCTGTGAATCCCCTCTTATAAATCTCCATTGTGATAAGCCAAAGCAGAGGCCCTGTCACAATCCCCCCTTCCACCAGAGATCCCTTGTTTTGGGGGTGGGGTTGAGTCATTAGTAAATTCCTTCCCAGTAAATAAGGGAATAAATCTCCATCAATCACTGTGGAGATTGAGGAACTTTAATGGTGCCTGCATATCCCCTGAGAGCCAGGATGACATAGTGGTTTGAGTGTTGGACTATGACTCTGGAGACCAGGGTTTGATTCCCACCTCAGTCATGAAACCCATTGGGTGATCTGGAACACATCAGCAGAAGACAATGACAAACCTCCTCTGAACAAATCCTGCTAAGAAAACCCATTATAGGGTTGCCTTATGGTTGTTATAAGACAGAAACAACTTGAAGGTACACAACAAAAACAACAACAGCAACAACAACAACAACAAATTTATCCCCTGAATTATGGAATACAGAAGGATCATGAATGCAAACCAGTCAAAATGTGTAATTCTAGGTTATGCATTCATAACTGCCTTAGTGAATTAAAGCCTAGACTTGCAATGTGAAGCCAAAGTTGGCATATTTAGAAAATATAAAATAATCTCCAATATTACTGGAGTTAAATATAGTTGTGTCCAAGTACAAGAATAGCTTCAATACTTCTTTGTCCTTGGTTATTACATCCTGTAGTGGTTTCACTGTTTATTCATTGCAATTAGATGCCATATTTATTTATCTATTTATTTATTTATTTATTTAATTTATATCCTGTCTTTCTCCAGGGTGGCTTACATCTTAACGTTATGCTCTTTTCATTTCAATTGCCACACACACACCTCCTTCATTTGGAAAAGCTCTTCTGCTTCTTGCCACTGATTGTAGGTGGCAAATCAAATTTTCAACTGAAATGTGCAAATACATAATTAAGTAAAATACAATGAGATAGGTGGGGAAACTGTAGCAAAGTGGCTGGAAAATTGGAACTGTGCCTTGTACAAAGGTTGAGGAACCTGCAAATGTTTTATTTCCATAGTAAAAAAAAAAAAAAAAAGCACATGCTAGCAAGGCAAGGAACAAAACTCTGTTACTCTTACTGATGTTCACACAAGTCCCTTTTTATGTTCAGTATAGTTGGAGGGTTCAGCTGTGTTGGGCACTTCAGCTTCAATGACATAGCCCCCCTCCAAATTAGAGTAGACACATGGAAATTAATGGGATTTGGATAATTGCTGAATATCCTAAATATTGTTGTTTTAAATGGGCCTGCTTTACTATGAAGATGTCTGAATGCAACATAAAGTATCTGGATGGAAGACTGGGAATTTATACTCTCCATTTGCCTTTCTTTTCTTTCTCCCCTTTATTGTAACCTCAAGCTGACCTCTTTTGGCTGCTGGGAGAAATGAAAATGAATGAAACAAATGCACATTCAGAACTCATTCATTCATTCATTCATTTCCTGATGTTTTATTATATTTCATTGTGTTTGCATTAACTATTGTTAATACATCTGAACATCATTTGGTGGGAAATAAGGATTCAAATTTAACAGATAAATGAAACTGAATATGATAATCTTGCATTCATTTTATGATTGAATTAATAATGAAATATTCCATTCATTTTTTCCTATTTATTAAAAAAGCACACATCCTTTCCAATGTATACATAACTGTTATAATTCATTGCATAAAGGGGAAAAAATGCAGTCAGGCCTCTATGTCCACAGATTCTGCATCCATGGATTCAACCAATCCAAACAACAAACAGCTTGAAAATATTCAAAGAAATATTCCCAAAAGCAAACTTTGATTTTGCCATTTTTGGTAAGAGACACCATTTTGCCATGCCATTCTATATAGTGAGACTCCAGCATCGTGGATTTTGGTATCCCGGGGGGGGGGGGCTGGAACCAAAGCCTAATGGATTACAAGGGCCCACTTTATTAAAAAACATAAGTTTATGTAACTAAGTACTGTAGGTCTTTGTCTGTTAAGGTAAAAAGGGTAATGCACATGCTGGTGAGCTGAAGGCTGGAGTTTTGCAATTTGCTGTATGTTGGGGTAGCTGTGTGCCAGGTTAGAAACCTTTAATTAGTTGAAAGCATGGCAGCCAGAATGGTTACTGGTACATCCAGGAGTGATCATATCCCACCAATATTAAAATCACTCCACTGGCTGCCAATTATTTTCTGGGCAAGGTACAAAGTGTTGGTTATTACGTTTAAAGTCCTACATGGTTTGGATCCAGATTATTTATGAGATTGGCTCCTCCCAGTTTAATCTGCCCTCTATTCTCTAATCCTCTAACAGAGATTTTCTCTAGTCAGCCAGGTCTAGGTTGGCAACTGTCAGTTGCCCCTAGACTGTGGAATTATGGATTGTTTTAATATGTATGTGTCTTATTTGTTATTTTAAACTGATGTGTGTTTTTAGCTGATGTTATATATTTGTTAATCATTGTTTCCAGCTTCAGTCTATAGGGAGAGGAGGGTAAGAAATTGTTGTAATTATTAAATAGCTTCTAGGACCTGAATCTCTGAAAGAGGGGACCAATTTAGAGAATCAACAAGAACAAAATATGGGGTTTTAAAATAAAGAATGGTAGGGAAGGGGGAAGAGATTAATGTGTCTAGGTTATATAGTTCTGATTCTCACTGTGATGACTACATCTAAGTATCTCCATTTTTAATTGGACTTAGAATGTGTTCTACATTGTTCCCCCTCCCATTCAGAATGTAAATCCCTTTCTTCTTTGATTTCCTGGCTCCTGGTGGTAAATTTTTAACTCTTCGTGGTTTTAGTCTTTAATATGCCATCAAAGGAATCCAGCAATCTAATGCACTGTTATAATCCCACTCTTTTCATTACATACTGTAATTGCTTTTAAAATCCTGTTTGAGCATCTTTTTGTAAGATTCTTTCCTGGTTACAAAATGGATTAAAACCTCTCTTATGATATGATATGCAGGTTATTGTGTCTATTCATCTCTTCAAGAGGGGGAATGTAGTGACTTTCCCTTTCACTTTATGACTATAGTATCCTTTTTAATCTAGACCAAAGGTGGGCAATTGTGTTCATCCAGATGTTTTTGGCCTTCAACTCTCAGCAGCCTCTATCTAGCATAGTCAGTGGTGAGGGATTATGGAAGTTACATTTCAAAAAGATTTGGATGGCCACACCCTTGTTTTGGATGGCCACACCCCTTATGCATCAGTATAGTAGGGTTAAAAAAAGAGTACCAACTCAGTTGGTGGATGGAACAATAGCAGTGGCAAACAGGCCAAGCTGGGTATGACAAATGGTTAAATTATAAGACTTTTATGGATCTACATTAATTACATATCCTTCACATCTGAGAAATACTTTCCCCAAGAAATTGCATGAGGTGGAATTCATATTTCTCAGCAGGGATGGACAAACTCTATGGCTCTAGGACAATTTTTCACCCACCAGAGGCTGCCCCAGCACTCCAAAACAAAATCTAAAATGCTTGGTTGTTCACATCTCTACCAAGATGTCCAGATGTTCACCTTTTGTAACCCCATGGGGGGACTGGGCCACAATAAGACATGGAGGACCCGCATCTTGTTTTAAAGGAGAAATATAACTCCTAGAAGGTGTCAAGAATGGCAATTCTTATGGTTCAATCAGCCCCCACCCCCAGTGAGGAACTATCTAACCATATCTAGCATAAGCATATCTAGCCAACAAATACAGCCAACAAATACAGCCCACAGGCCACATGCTTGCCATAACTGTTTTATAATGTGAAATATTCCAGATAGTCATAAGGATATAAAATAATCTCACATTTTAATCTCACAGAAAGTGATTATATATACAAAATACATTTAAGAAAAAACCTTTTTTAAACACAAATAATAAGCCTGGAAAAGATCTAAATTATATCTGCATGTTGTTATTGTTGTGTGAAAGATATGCCACTTTTTAGAACAAATTCTAAGCAATACTGAAAAACAAGGGAAAATACAAATAAATAAATATCCACTATATTGGAGTAGCCTGAGATGGAATATAAATGAGGAGGATGTTGGATAGCTTGAAGTGGAAAAGCCTGAATTCTATTCCCTTTCCTATCTTTCATTTTTCATTTCTTCAGTTTGTATAAAACAATTTGTTAATCATTTGTGGGTTTTCACATTAAATTCATTAACTGGATCTGTCAGAGAGATTGTTTTTTGGATTTCATCTTGCCATGGACCACAGTCTATCAATTATCAGTCATTTTTACATAAAGCTCAGCCAAGTAATCAACCAATATATACCCTAGCCACTTTAATCCAGTTGATTCCAGAATATATTTTCCCCTGGCATGCATGGATCTGTGGATGCCATGGGGGATTTTCCCCTGGCATGCATTCATCCATGGTGCCATGGGGGATTCTCCCATAGGTTGCATTGATCCATGGGTGCCATGGGGGATTCAGCTCTGGAATGCATGGATCTGTGGCTGTGGATTTCAATTTCCAGCACAGCAAAGTGGTCCCTTTAAATCACAATGTGGTCCCAATCAAACTGTGCAGCTGTTTTTCAGTTCTACTGGGGAAAAAAATCCAGAGGGAGGGTAAGTGTGTGTGTGGGGGGGTGATCCTTGGAGGAGGAAGGTGTGTGTGTGTGTTCAGCTGTTGGTCCCATAGAAATAGACATGCTCCTGTACTCTCTCTGCTTCTAGCAGCCCATTTCCCTGCAAGGACGGAAAGTGGAGGAGGAAAAGAGTGTTCATCTTACACACACAAACACATACACATACAGAGGCCCATGGAAATAATGACAGCTGATGTGTGCGGCCACTCCTCTGTGTGCTTGCATAATCAGAAATGCCCATGTGCATTATATGACTGACATTAAAAAAACCCAAAAAACCCTAGAGTAGATCAAACACATCCAAGACTGAGAATCCATTTTGTTGTGGTACAAAACTAAATGTGAATGTGAACCATGTTAAATAGACATGGGGGCATTCGGTAATGGAAAATGTAGTGTGAGTTCAAATGAATTCTGTAATCCTGGATCTATTCAACTCAAAAAACGTGTTTGTTTTTTTTGCAAGTGTGAATGAGGCCAGTTGGGTTCAAAGACACAGTGGTTTAAACCCACTGGCCAGTGGTCTGTGCTTCTTTCCAAGGCTCCGCACAAGCTGTGCAGCTTCTATAAAAAAGATATCTCCTCGCTGTCATTGCCTGGTACTTCTTCATACTCTACTCTGTCCTAGGTCACAAACTCTCCCCATACTAACTCATGGAGAACTCTTCT